ATCAGGCCCCACAAGCAAAACACCGCTCCAGTAATAAAATAATATGTTAATTCATATACTGTAGGAGGGGATTTGCCACATCCATGAGGCTTCTCCACAATATAGGTCATTATCTGGGGAAACATTTAGAGATGTTAATGTCAATTGACTTGTAAGAGAACGCAAGTTCCATGGAAATGAGATTGTAGTGTCAGCAGAAGGTACCAGTCTTTTCATGTTGCCCCGACCTTGAAAAATGCTCAGGGTCACAATTAAAGTCATACTTTTATCAGAACTATTAAAGGAACCCATACAGTTATCTCTAAAAGAACTCTGTGAAATGAAAGAGAAAGTAGATTACAGTGTGTGATGATATGAAGTATTTTTTTACAGTCTTTTTCTGACAGTCTGCATTTAGAATCGTGCTGTATGCAGTCTGGGGGTCAAAGTTCAAGTGTAGGGAAAACAGAGCATAGGAGAGTAAGTGCTGCTTTTATTGCAGGGGACACCTGAGGCGGCTTCTGGCACGGCGGGCATGAGGTAACGTAAACCATCATGCTGACCTCGAGGCCAGAGGCTGAGCCGGACTTTGTGGGATAACACGCCACTTTGGAATCGCTCCTTCCAAATTTCCTGGGATCCAAACTTCCCAGCTATTGATTGTCTGAAGTGGCCCTTTATTCATAATTGTATGTGTGTGTGTGTGTGTGTGTGTGTGCGGGGTGAGAGGTGAGAGGGGGGGCAGGCATGCAGCCCGGAGGAGGGAGACTCAGCGGTGCCCTCTGTTGTTTATCTGGGCCACAAGGGCGAGGGAAAGTTCCAGACGGAGCGATAAGGTGAGCTAACAAACAAAAACAAAAAAAAAAAAAAGCAAAATGAAAGAGACGAAGCAGACATGCAGACAGACGTCAGGGCAAACTGGAATGCCGGCTGATGGGCCAGCCTGAGGGTGGGGACAACAATGGCCTCTACTCAGCTGCTCATCGCCATGTGGGGGGGGCGCACAAACCAAACATTTGGGTGCCCGTGTGCCTGACAGGTTGGAAGGTCTTGCTTAAAGGAAAACAAAAACATGGCGTTGTTTGTTTGCTAAGCAACTGAATGCAGTGTGTCTTTTTGGGGGCTGGAGATGGGGTTGCCGTTTGGAGCGGGTGGGCGAATAGCTTACGGTGATGAAGCTCTTTTATCATATGACAGATTATATGGTGTTCTGATTGGTCAGACCCGTTTAAACTTATTTTGGTTTTCTTTGGAGGTTAACAGGAAAGACCGGAATGATTGAGGGTGCATTTGGGAAAGATGTTTAATGTTAGAGCATAGCCGTCGTAAATCACAAAGAATAATAAGTATGTGCTGTCTTTGAGCAGTCATGTGCTCTGTTAAAAATGGTGGATGCTGATGTGTTGGCTGTATCGAGCGCCTCTCCACTGTCCGTCTGTGCTCCCGACCTTCTGCTGTGCCGTCCGCCTGCCTCTCGTTCCCCCGCTCTCCCTCGCTCACCATATCAACTCCCCCCCCTCCGTCTGGGTCACCAGCCTGTATCAGGATGTGGTGAGGCTAGTGGGCTCCTGATCCGGACAGGCATTCGGGGAATGCTGCTGAGGCGTGTTCCTGGTGCAGGGGGAAGTCCGGCTTGTGTTTATTTTACATTCTGTCTCTCTGTGTCTGCATCAGGATGAGGGAAACGGTACCAAAACCCTCTGCACTCATCCCTCAGAGCCGGGTCTCTCCGTGGGGTCTGTCAGCCTCAGCCACAGCAGGCATGGTCCTTCCCGGCATCTGGGACTGCCGCCTCATCGTCATGGAGACCAGCGGCGTCGCTGTTGACGGAGCGGCTCTTTTAAAGTCGTAGACTCAAAGGATGTAGCAGGGCTTCATTAAGTGAGCCAGACATGGAAGGCAATACGCGGCCGGGCTTGAGGAATGACATCAGTGCCGCTGGCTGTGAAAAGGCCTTCGGTGCTGTGTGTGGGCGTGTGTCTGAGGGCGGGAAGCGGCACTGATCACCGCCGCATGTGCTCTTCGAGGGACTGACCTGCAGATGCGTCGTTGGCCTTAGTGCAGAGCGAGGAGCCAAACGTAGCCAAGGCATCGTGCCTCTTTCCAGACCGTCTGCCGTGGCTTTCCCTCAGGAGAAACAGTAAGGCCGAATGACCACCCCCTCCCGCTTTGCAGCACATTCCCACACGGGCTGAAGGCCCCCGGCACGATGGCCCCTAATGACCCCCGGCTCACCCCCACAGACCGAATCGTGTCACAGCAGCGAAGGCGGCTTTGCACACCAAACCAGCCTCAGTCCGCCGTGTGGCTCTGACGTCTCCGCTTACCTGCTGGGGCCCAAACACTGACGCTCTGTCCTGCGGCTCTGGGGGTCCCTCTGGCTCCGGTGGGGGCCCCCGCCTATCTCCAGTCACTATCTCTGTCCTGACCTTCTCTGTTTGTTTTCTCTGTTTTCATCTTCTCCTCAGTCCTTCAGGGCATGCGATCAAAAGTGGGCCCAAGCTGCCAGGTTTTACTGAGCCTTTGAGGTGCAACCCCCCCAGCCTCGCCACCCAAACTCTTATTTCTGGAGAGACATCCCTTGTCCCACCCCTTGCGACCTACTACTGACCCCAGCTTCATCCCCCCCCCCCGAACAAGCCCTTGGGTCTAGCCAGCTGGCACCAGACAGTCATTCTAGCCCCACTGTAGGTCACTGGGGTGGGTGGGGGGGGGTGGAGTGACATGCCTTGCTATTTAATGCGCTCCCGACTGTCGCATGCAACCTCGTTTATCCGTCTGCCAGTGTTTCAGTGTCATGCGCCTGGATGCGAGCGGTAGGTAAGGGATCCCGTCCCTTGCATTAGGGGGGGGGGTCACATGCACATATGGCCCCGCCGCTCCGAAGGGTCTCTCCATTCACTTCTCTCTGCCGATAAATCAATAACGGTGTTTATTTCCCTTCCGTGTGGTTTCATGTAATAAAATGAGTCGTAATTAATTTGAAGATCTCCGAAGAGACAGGGGAGGCAGCGAGGCAGCGAGGCAGCTTTTGCGGAGCAGCACAAAGGCCCGTTCGCCGTTCAACTCATTCCATGTGCAATTGTCCCCCCACTAATACAGCACTCAGAAACCGGCGACTAGAGAAAGAAATATATTTTGAAAATAAATTAATTTTATTTAGGACAGCAGTGGGGGGGATGAGGGGGGTGTTAAGCAGATTAAAAGAGTTGGCTTGCGTTTTGATTGAATTAAATTTCCTCTTTTTAAACGTTGACCCAAGCTTTTGACAGCCTCCTCGTCTTCATGTTAATTAAGCGTTTGCAAAAAAGAACAAAGGAAACATTAAAAAGAGGAATTCATTTATTATATGGCTTTTTATAGGGAGACTGTGTTAGTGGGTGTCTGTGTTGTTCCACCATGTCAATACAGCTTATACCCTAAATCTTTTACTTGCAGGAGGAGAGAGAGCGTGTTTCGGGGGGGCTGCGTCTGTGGGAGGAGGCAGGAGAGCGTAGGGGCCGCTGATGGATATGTAGCAGTCACCCTGCTAGTGGGGCAATATGGCGGAGAGCTGTCCCACCTGCTCAGGGCCTTCACTGGGCCTTCACTGGTCCTTCACTGGCGCTCGAACGCCAGCGACCACAAGCAAGTGGCTCACGGGTAAAGGTTCATAGGACGAATCTTCCATAGCCTCCATCGAGCTGGCCGAGCCAGCGCCGGATCTCTCAGCCCTTTCAGATCCAGCCGCAGGACAGCTGAGGCCCGAAACTGGCCACTGATGGATGTACAAGATTCCATTTCCATAGAAAGGTCAGCCTCAGCATGAAGAAGACCGTGGGTATTTGCAGAGTTCTTCTGGGAAAAGACAATAACTGGCAAACTGATATATAAGTACACGTGCATATATGTGTGTCTGTTCAATATATGTGTGTGTAACATATGTCAGTATGCTATGTGAATTACTGACTTGTATATCGGTGTCGATCAGTATCGCTGGCTGTCCTGATGATCGAATGGTGAGCCTCAGTCACATGGCAGTATATGAATTCCCTGTTACTCCCCATATGTGACTCCCTAACATTGCTGCTGCTGCAGTCTTCTGTGTAACTAGCTCCTAGATATTGGTGAATGGGTAATCCCAGGTCCAAAGCAACAGATGGTTTTATTTTGGTGAACCTGTCAGTCAGAAATGCTCGCGACCAAGGTCTCTGTCGGTGTTTCTCTGCCAGCAGCTGCAATGGATTGTGTGTGCGTGTCTGTGTGTGCACATGTGATGTGTTTTTTGTGTGCATGTCTTTGTTTGTACACATATGTGTGGATTAGGTTTATATTACATTGTAGGGACCAAATGTTCCCCACAATGTGATAAAAACCTGTTATTTTGATGTTGTGGGGACCATTTTTCAGGTCCCCACAAAGATCTGTGAATGCAATAAAAAAAAAAAAACTAAAAAGTCTTCCATTTTGTTTAGTTACTTATGGTTAAGGCTAAGGCTGTGTAGAGGTTAAGCTCGTCATGTTGGGATTAGAGTTTTCCCCATAGAAATGAATGGAGATTCCCCACAAACCTGTGTGTATGTGTGTGTGTGTGTTGCAGGTGGACGCTTTTCCCTCCTCTTGCACTTCCCTATCCAGTTTCACTAATGGATAAGACTCAAAGGCAACCAGCTCCGGGTGGCTCTGCGGGGACAGCAGCAGTACAGTGGGTGTATGGATCCATTCGAGTGGCGCAGGTACGCGGGCAGGTGCTGATGTAGAATTCAAAGGAGATTCCCTTGGTACGCTTGGGAAACGTTCCCAGAGACATGCAGCTGGTTATGCGAGTTAAAATTTAAGTCAGGTAACAATAAAAATTAAGATAACAGTGAGTCACTCCTGATAAGAGCATTTTCTAAATGAACTATAAATGAATTCTTTCCATGATGTGACGCACCTGTTCCCTGGTGCCATCGTGGCCTGTTCCTCTTCAGCAGGCTGCAGGTGTCAGTTCAGGCTGCATTCAGAGAGCAGAGAATCGCCAGGCTGCACATCCCTTGTTACCGCTGAGCTACACATCGGCCCATTAAGGGATGGTTTTGAGTTCCGGATGGATAAGTTTTCACATAGACGCATAAGTAAGATATCCGCCAAAGAGATGTTCTACTCATTCTCAAACACTGCTGAGTTTCTGATATATTTTATCTCATTGTCTGAGGTCACAAAGCAAACATCAAAGTAGCATAAGTTTAGGAAAGGAGTTAATGGCAAAACATAAATGAACAAATAAGGTGAGAAAAAGTAGGTACATTGCAGCATATGGCAACGACTTTATGTGTATAAAAAGTAATCGTGAGAAGTGTACAGGGTCAGTGTAAGGCAGTGGTCACATCATGTTAACTGTGAGCTAGAAATAGCTCAAAGAGAGCTAAGAAGAAGTCCGAGAAGCTTTTACAGTTATTAAACCCCAGTTGTAGGAATTGCTCTCGCTGTACAGAATTTTGGAAACCCCTGGTGTAAAGGATCTATATAAGGTAAATGTTGTGTACAGTACTGACAGTGAGTGTGTAAAGTATTAGTACAGCGTTGTAAAGACGCTGTGGAGGGCCTCTGGTCTGAGTGCATGCGGTCCGACAATGAGCGTCTGTAGGGCAGGTGTACATCTCCGGCGATGTCAATAAATCGTCCCCATAGACGCTGGCTGTATTAGGCCCGAGATCGCTGGAAATCTGAGTTATGCCATTAGCCATAGCGAGACAGTGACAGAGAGTGGGAGGGAGCTGCAGTATCAAAAGGGGGGACACTGCTGAGATTGTTCCCGCAGACTGACAGTCCTTTTAGCCTTATCTTCCCGAGTTACTCTTACAGAACATGAAAGAGGAAAAAAACAGTCTTTCTCTCTTTACTCTGTCTCTTTCTCCAATTTCTCTTTTTCTCCCCCATCTATCTCCGCAGACTTTATTCCAGCCTCTTTCGGCCTGCCTGTCACGCTGCCGTCCTTCTTTCCCTCTCCTCGTGGGTCTGCCGGACTCTCCCAGCAGCACGTCGGCCATCGCGGATCCTCTTCCCCACCGTCTTTCCACACTCACTTTCAGCTCCCGTAATTTTCCGTTTAGCCTGCTCCGATCGTCAGGCCGAATTGTCCGCAGTAGCGTGGCGGGGCTGTGGGTGGGTTAGCGAGTGCGAGTGGTGCGACTGCATACCCAGGACACAGTGCTACAGTATGCGCGTACGTTTACATGGATCTTATTTTTTTGTTGTCGTGTATTAGCATGTGAGGGTGCAGTGTGTCGGGGGGGGGGGGGTTGTTCTTTGGACCAACGGAAAAGGACCGATTGTATAAATGAAGGGATAATAGAACTGAGCGGACGCTTCTGACCCCGGACGTCTTGAGAGCAAAGCACTCCTTAATGAGGCTGGGCTTATCTGTCCTTGTGGCTGGAATTCCAGCTCTGATGGACGCCATGTTGGCTGTTAATATATTTGATTGATAAGCTAAAATGAGAGCAAGAAAGAGAGCTGTGAAGTCTGTGGGGGGGGGGGGTGGCCTCAGAGGGAAGAGGGGGGCGAAAATACGATCCCCGCTTGTAGCAAAATGACCTCCGATAGAATCTGTGGTCCTCCATCCTATCTCACAGATAGGCTGGGAACACGCAAATGTAGGCAAACAGATCACACATGACACACACACACACACACACGTGTGTGGCGGCCACATGTACAAGCGCCCCCTAGTGGTGAGGGGCAAGAGCAACCTGGTAAAGAGAGTAAAGAGAAGATAAGCAAGACACTGAGACAAGATGTGAGATGTGCCCCGTGAGTTATGGCCACGTCTTCTCCTCTAGTCTTGGCAGTACTGTATTCCGGGGGGGGGGGTGTCTGTGATACTGGGGTGAGACGGAGAAAGATAAGACTGCTTCCCTCAATAACACCAGTCTAAGCTCATCTGCACAGGCGAGCGGGGACACATCAAGTCATATTGCGTCCAGTCAGAGGCACCTATGATGAAGTGTTACAATTACTGCTGCGTGTCCCTTCAGAGCGAGGCTCTGTCACAGTCACGGGGAAGTGACCGCGGCGAGGTTTACGCTGCCCGCGAAACAGAGCCCCTCTCCCACTGATCACTGCAGCCATCTATCAGCTGCCCCCCTGCAAGCCACACAGCCACACGGCTGTGAACCCCCCCCCCCAGTGCAAAGTGTGCCCGGCAATCATTAATCAATAATATCGATGGAAAATTCTGATGCACCACCATGGAATAGCGTAAGATATCACATTCTGCACACGGCCATTGGGAAGAATGTCCTGCGTCCCACCCCTGGAAAACTCAGGTGCCATTTCACGGTAGCTGCTGCCCCAAGAGACAGTTTTCCAAATTGCACCTTCTGAATTCTGCCCAGGATAAAAGAAAACAAAGGGGGAAATGATTAAGCATTACGGAAAGCGACGGAGACAGAGGGACAGGTGGGGGTGAGAGAGGATGGAAAAGTTATCCCTCTTGCTGCCCACAGCCTGCTGATAGGAATCTCCCCATTTCGTTAAGAGAGGCAGAGAGGCGGCAGGGTGGGGGACGTCCTGCCTGCGGGGAGAGCCGTCCGTCTTCGCTGCCAGCAGTGGCGTAGCCCCGTCCGAGTGCAGGTGGGTGGGGGTGGGTGGTGTAATCCCGTCTTAGGGGCCGTGTTTAATTAGGCCAAGAGACAGACGTGGTGGCAGTCAGGGAGCCATGGAGTTCGGTCTGGAGATGTGGTGCGTTCACTTGGGAGAAACGGAACCAGCATCCACCGCCATGCCGGAGTAAATGAGGCCGCTCCTGGCATCGCCTTCCGAGCGGCGTCAGCACCCATGGCCAGCGTGTGGAGACACCTTTCTCTCCCCAGGTCCCCCCCCCCCCCGCCCTGCCCCCATCCCCCGCCATGTTTAAGGCGGAGGAGCGTGACCTGTGGGGAACTTAAGCATTGTGTGCTGCCCCCATCCCCCGCCATGTTTAAGGCGGAGGAGCGTGACCTGTGGGGAACTTAAGCATTGTGTGAGACTATAAGCGCTGCCGTCTGGGCTGCGTGCTGACATCATCCACATCTAATATGCCGTAGCATTCCCCGCTAATCCTGTTTGTCGTGTGGAAAATCCTGTTTCTTTTTTGTCTTCCTCAGACTCAGATCTTTGACTGTAGGGCAGAAGGGAGGAATAGGGGTGAAACGCTGCACTTCACACCCCCAAAACCACCAACAATAACACTGTATGCCGCAGAACATACAGAATATTACACATGCAGCGGCCCGGCATCCCACCTGCACATCCCCTGAATCTCGCCTGCACATCCCCTGACTCCCGCCTACACATCCCCTGACTCCTGCCTGCACACCCCCTGACTCCCGCCTGCACATCCCCTGACTCCTGCCTGCACACCCCCTGACTCCCGCCTGCACATCCCCTGATTCCCATTCAGTGATATCCTGACAGAGGCTCCAGCCTGATGGTGGCTCTGAATGCAGATGGATGGATTAAATATCAGAGAAATTATATTACTTATGATTTTTGCTGATTGTGAAAGTTGTAATGTAGTGATTCTGAATAACCTTTTCAATATTTTCATATTCATAGGTATGAGCTTATTATTTCAATCTAATAATAATAATAATAATTGTATAATTGTACGAGGGTGGACAAAATGACAGAAACACCATTTGAAGAGGGCTGTACCTTTGAAGTAACTAAATCACAATTACAAACACAGATACAAAGGTGGGTCATATTAAGCTGAATGCCAATTAGCAGCAACTTAATGGCTGTGAAAAGAGGTCTGACAATCAGCACTTTGAATTTTTCATTTACATTTATATATTTTATAGACACTTCTGTCCAATGCGATGTACAGCGAGGTAAATAGCACACTGCAAACATTAATACTGTCAAGGACTCAACCAGGCATTAGTGCGGCTAGGCTGAGCTTCCAGTGAATGCCCAGTTACAGCTAGGCTGAACTTCCAGTGAATGCCCAGGTACAGCTAGGCTGAGCTTCCAGTGAATGCCCAGGTACAGCTAGGCTGAGCTTCCAGTGAATGCCCAGGTGCAGTATTAGAGCAGGAGCTACTTAACAACTACACAAATATGAACTACCAAAGTATGAACCTAATAACACAATTCATGGACTAGGAGTGCAACATAAGAGCATTCAAAAAACATAAAGGGTAGAAGAGGAATTCATGGAAGAGATGGTTCTTGATTTGTTTCTTGAAGGTGGAGGAGAATCTGATGACTGATCGTGGTTTGGCAGCTCATTCCATCACCAGGGAATCACACATGAGAAATTTCTGTTATTGCCAAGTTTACTATGAACCTAAAACATACTGCACCTCAATCAGGGAAGAAGATAATTTAATAATAATTAAAATATAGATCGTTTTTTCCTCAGTCATTTTACATGGTAATAAGCCAATGCATTTTAAAGTCACATTACAGCAGCTGCTTTCTTTATGACAAGAGGAAGAGTTACGCAAACATGGGCATCCACCCTCAGAAAGAATGGGGTGCTCACATGGAGATCAACCTTCAGAAACAATGGGGCGCTCACATGGAGATCCATTCTCAGAAAGAATGGGGCGGTCACATGGAGATCCATTCTCAGAAAGAATGGGGTGCTCACATGGAGATCCATTCTCAGAAACAATGGGGCGCTCACATGGAGATCCAGTCTCAGAAACAATGGGGCGCTCACATGGAGATCCAGTCTCAGAAAGAGTGGGACGCTCACATGGAGATCCACTCTCAGAAACAATGGGGCGCTCACATGGAGATCTAGTCTCAGAAAGAGTGGGATGCTCACATGGAGATCCAGTCTCAGAAAGAATGGGGCGCTCACATGGAGATCCACTCAGAAACAATGGGGCGCTCACATGGTGATCCACCCTCAGAAATAATGGGCCGTTCCAACTGTCAGATGGAAGGGGAGATGTACGGGGGGGAGGAGGCTTGTTAATTGACAGGGAAAAGGGACAAAAAAGAGGAGGGGGAGAAAAGGAGCATGCAGCAGAGGAAAGAGATTAAAAAGAGTAATTAGCAGCCGGGTGACTGATAAACGAAAGAATCATTAATTACAGTGGTATAACTGGTGGGGATGTAGTCAGGCTCCCATTGTCCTCTCCTCTCTCCGCTTCTCTCAGCCCATCAAACCGTCTCTTCTGTCTTTTGGCCCCCTAGCTGTGCCTGTGCTTCAGCTCCTTCCCCTCTAATCCACCGACTTGCCTGGGATCCCCCCTCCCCCTCGCACCCTACCCACCCCACGTGAATTCGGATCCGGCATATTGCCCTGCCGGGGCGTCACCACGGCCCGTTCTCCTCTATGCTGGCCCAGTTACGAAACTCACAATCCGCAAAGAAATACATTACTATTCCAGCAATGTTTTTTTTCCCCATTATCAGTTAATTTACGAATGTTAATATAGTAGATAATATTAAGACAGTAATATTGTTTCTGTTGTCGGCTTCTGCCTTGTGCAGATGCGCTCCAGTGATGAAATAATGCTTGTGTCGCGATAGCATCGGCCTTCCCCTCGTTCCCTTGCTCTCTTTTGCCTGTTAATGTAATTAACTCTGATGAAAATGAGCTATTTTTAATCACCGCGGTGCTGCGTACTTTGTTCCCCTTCGCTTCTTGCCACCCCTCGCTCGCCAGCCCATTGTTTCGCCTCCGCAGCCTCACATCCCCACTCGGCGCCCGCATGGACGCGTATTCATGCGTCCGTTTGCACAGACCTGGTAATAAAACAAGGGACACAATATATTGTTGTGTGAAGGCCGGCTGGTAGACAGCAGAAGCCCTGCCACGCTGCCCCAGTGCTGCAGTCAGAGCAGAGATTGCCAGGTTGCAGAGGGTGAAAACAAAGAAAGCCCTGATACTGAATAATACAAGTAGCCGAATAAAGGGGTTAAGTCGCAGTGCCAGTGAGGAGCTTGAGAGGGTGTGAGGCCTAGCGAATGTAGCATCTTTGTAACACTGACGTGCTGTTCTTGGCTACGTCCTTCTTAATGTTTTTGATAAATTAGGCTCTGGGCCAGTGGAAGGACTTATGAACATGAATCAGAGTGAAGCAGTAGATTCTCTATATCCTTGATGTTGTTTCCCCATGTTCCACCAAATAAATGGTTTCCATTGCCTTGACTGGCACTTCACCCTGGAATGCAGCTGCTAGTTTCAAAGGATAAAGCAGGTCCATCCAGGATAATGCTCAGAAACACGACAGCAGTGACTCTACTGAACTGGGGCTCAACGACACTCAAACGAGTTCCACGGACTCTGCCGGGGTCCGGACTCAGAGGAATGAGGGAACGTGGACGAAGGTAGGGCTGAGTATGAAGGGACGAAGAAGTGGAGTAAGAAATGGCTGATGTGAGGTGATGAGCGGGGGATCGCTGTAGACGGAGGAAAAGGCAGGATGCAGAATGGAGAGCTGAGGACTGAGCCGAGTGTAAATCATGTTCATGGATGGAGTAGCGCGAAAAAATCTGCGGCATGGTGGCCAGGATGTGTCTCATAAACAAGGCGCTGACAGCACACTCATCACCGGGGACAGCCCTGCCTGCTGCCATGGCGATAAAGTGAGTCGGGGAAGGCAGGCTGGCCACTTGCTGTTCTCATATCAGCACCATCATCCATCTCCACCCTGCCTCTCTGCTCCATCTCCCTCCATCATCCCAGTGCCCCTGAACACATGCATATTAGTCCTGCCTTTTATTCAATCCAATTTTTTACCCTCCAACTTTTGATAAATAAGACTTTTGATAAATATACCTACTGCATATAACAGAGTGCAACAGTATATGCTTTAACGATCAAATGTTCAAGTTTGCATGCTTTGGAAAAATTTCAAGTGTAACCAGATAAACTATATGTAATACAGTATATAAGCATAAGGTTTAAGCATGCAAAGGTTTTGAGACAGTATACAAATCTGTAACTATTTTAGTCTACTGGCGTTGGAAATCAAATATAATAAAAATTAGCATGAAACTCTTCAATGTAAAGGTCTTAATATGTGAAATTATATGAAATAACATTTTACTTGATTAGATTCAATGTGCTCAGTACACTGTTTCTCTACAAAACATATAGTCTTTACACTTGTTCTAGGTAATCAGTTAAAAAAATGTAAAATTTTTAAATGAGCCTTATTTCCAATAACCTAATTATATAATTGTATTTTGGCTCTGAATTGCCATTCAACAGGAATACACTTATATTCATGTAGGCCATAAGCAATCCACAAACAAGCAAATGAAAGCAGCTGCTTGACTAATTTGTGTTATGAAATATAAGTGTGAAGTTTTGCAGGTAATGAAGTACTATTGCCAACAAACATTGTGTAATTATCCATCCATCCTTCCAACTGCTTATTCTAGACAGGGATATCCCAGGCATTATAGGGTACAAGGCTGAGGTACACGCTGGGCGAGATACCAGTGCAGCACACGGCACGTAGATATGCTCACACGCTCATTCACAATCACTCTACGGCAGTGTTTCCCAATCCAGTTCTCGGGTCCCCGTAGCCAGTCCATGTTTTTGCTCCCTCCCGCCTCCCTGCCAGGTAGTCAACATTTTTGCTCCCTCTTAGCTCCTGGGTCAAAAACCTGGACTGTCTGTGGGTCCCCGAGGACTGGATTGTGGAACACTGCTCTACTGGGAATTTAGCTTAGCCTGAGTGCTTTGACTGGGTAAGAAACCTGCAGTAGCCAGAGGACACTAGTGCAACATGGGGAGGAGTTATGGTATTATAGTTGAAATGGATGTGCTCTCCATGCATTTCAGGAGAAATTTCTTATCACTACCCAATGGCCATTTATTAAACTAAGTTACTGTAGCTTCGACTACATGCTTAACTATACATTTGTACTTAAAGGGAAGTACAGCTTTGCTGTAGAAGACTCACCAGACATGTTCCATGTTTTTTAATAAGTATTTTCGGTTTAATATGTCTGAAATGCTCAGCACAGTAAATCAGGGTAAAATAAAAGTGGGGTGCCACACTGTGGTGAATATTTCTGAAGTGTTGTCATATTATGGGGAAAAAAATCCAGGTTACATAATGATAGAACATGCAGCGTGACTTGGAGGCTTGAAAGACGGAACCGTGTGCAAAACATTGTCTTGGGTTTGTTTTTCATAATAGCGTTAAGTGAGGCACCTCTAATGGGAGGCTTATCAGCACCGTTGCAAAAGGGAAGCATTCAGCATAAATCTGAAAATTAAGATTTTTGGCAACAGATTTTAGAAACTTGCCTGCTTTGTTCTGGGAAATAGAATTTTAGTGCCGCCTGATTCCCAAATTCGTGTCTGCTTCTTCCCCTAACAGTGTCAAGGCAAAGGCAGCAGCAAATGCACTTTAAAATTTAAACATGGCAAGCGGATTGATAAATATAATGTATGCTTATTATATGGCACATTTCTATATTTGCAGTTCTTCTTATGGACGGTTATAATTTCTTTAAAGCGAAGGCCAAAGTATGACTTGCTGAAATTTAGGTCATCTTTTTTTCCTTCTAGGTTATTTGAGGGCTTCCGTGCATGAGGGCCGTCACGCTTGCAGCCGAAGACGATGTCAAAGAACGGTTGGTGTTACATGTAACATAATTAGTGATTTAAGTGTAACATCGACGTAGCCAGAAATTCACTGCCGTTTCACAATGGAAACGTTACACCTCAGGGGTGGCAAGGTGGCAGCATGGTTGGCCTGGTCACCTCAGGCCTGTGGAGACCCGGGTTCAAGTTTCTGCCCTGGAGCATGTCTGGAGTTTGCGTGAATTGGATTTGCTAAATTTGGTGCAAGGTGGGTTGGCTCCCCATCTTGGGTTATGCCTATCATTGTAACTGTAGCTTCCTCAATAGGCTATGGGGCCCCACAATCCTGCACAGGACTAGCAGTCACAGGAAATAGATGGATATTGTACGTAATCCTAATGTCTTACCTAACTAGGAAACTTTTATCCAGCCTGATGTCACGGTCATAGGCTAAATAAAGCTAACACACCGTGTACATAGTGACAGGATCTGCCAGAAGTCACCGGCCTCATGCACTTCACAAGTCCATTACAGTCTGGTACCGGTCCCATAATCCCCAGGCAGGCAACCCTGATCTGGGAGCTGGCTCACACATAAAAAAACATTAGTGCATGTTTGATTCCCCCAAACTTTAAAAGAAATATACAATATAACAGCAATTGTGGCTGCTGGAGGTGGTGGTCAACAAGTGTTACATCATTGGGTTCAATCTCAAAGGGGTGTGACATAATTCGGTAGAATCTCAGAGGGGTGTGACGTCATTGGATACAATCTCAGAGGGGTGTGACATCATTCGGTACAATCTCAGAGGGGTGTGACATCATTGGATACAATATCAGAGGGATGTCACTGAATCAGGTAGCTTTTTGCAGTCAACATGTTGAAATTTCAGTATTTTTTCAGAAATGCAAATGTAATGTAAAGTATATATTTTTTAATTATGCCAAATATGCATTTTTAAAATATATGTTTTATGAAATTATACAGGAAACTTGTGAGCCAGAGATCTGTGCAGTGTATTTACTGACAAAATACCCTCATCAGCTGTTTGTGAATGAAAGTGACATAAGACAGAGAACCACCCTGACGAAAGAAAAGCAAAAGACCCTTCAAGGCCACCATTGTTCCCTCATCACAAGCGGCTTGTTTGCATATCTCTCCCTGCCTTATTATTCACAAAGAGAAAACATTTATGTAAATTTGCACTGACACCCTGGTAAAGCAATATATTGATATCCTGTTTTTGCCTGTGTCCTCCCCCCCCCCCACCTTTCTGTGGGGCAGCATTGTGTTTCTGCCCATCACTGCATATACTGCACCTGTCAACAGGCCTCAACCATCGGCCAGCTTTACTTTAGTCAGACAGCAGAAGAGAAATGAATGGGAGGGACAATAAAAGGGTAAAGAATGAGCGCCAATCATGGGGCTTAAGCGACCCTGCAGGCTCCGAAAGAGGCCAAGGCATTAGGGTCAGAGGACGAAGATGGCGGGGCCTGGAAGGAGGCGCAGAGCGGCTCCCCGTCACCGGGCCGTCCGGCTCGCTGTCGTCCATCCTGACAGTGAGGAGGTGCGTTTCACAGGGGCTTGTGCGTAGGCGTCCATGCCTGCGCCTGCCTGGCAGAGATTGGGGGCCAGCGGCCCGTCGCCACAGTGTTGGCGGCAGCTCTGGGCCAGGGTGACGGTGAACCCCTGTCAGGCGTCCATTGAAGCCCTCGCCTGCGCCTCCTCAGCCGCCGCACCACACGCACCTACCATCCCCTTCTGTTCCCGCCGTTTATTACCCCCCTGACCTGCACCCACAAGAAAGCATCGTGACAACTTGACAGCAGCGCTGCGGAGATCCCTCTTACCCACCTACCCACCGGAGATTTGGCGGGAAGCAGAGAGAGGAAGTGGCAGCAAGCGACAGAACCAATCGGACGTACTCTTACTGGTAAACATTACATCACTGTGTTATTGTTCTGTGATCCCAGCTTCACCCAACAGGTTTTCAAATGCAGTGCGCAAATTTAAAAAGATGCTTCTTCATATTTTTGCATCATGAATCTCGTCGTCAACCATCCGTGACTTTGATGTAGATAATATTTAATAGAGTAATATTTTACTCTTTCTCCTGAATCATCTTTGGGGTTTCTTGCATTTGAGGAACTAGTTACAAACTGTACTGTAGATTATATTGACAGAGCTGTTGTGTAACCTTACATCCCGTTTGGGGTAAGAATGGTAGATCAGGATTGTGGGAGTAAAACTGGGGGTTTGTTTCTGGTTTGGACTGTGAGCTGTGCCAATGAAAGGTCATGTACATTTGTACATTTGTACAGGTATAATGTAAATGTTCATATCTTTGTGGGGGTGTCTGTTTCTTTAGTAAGTCCCCTCAAAGTGCGTTTCATTTACAAAGTAACTCCCCACCCTAGATCTAATAATATGTGCTGTGAAAATGGTGTTATTTAGTGTCTTCCTAATCCGGTATCTTATTTGATTAATATTATTAGCTAACACATATTTAATTCTGTATCTAAATACTGAACTTCATGGTGACTGTATATAGATCATTAAAACATAGTGATCCATCTGATTTTGTTAGCTGTGGGTGACTCATGAAGAATGCACAGTCTTTGCAGAGATAATGAACAATAACTAGCAGTTAGCATATATTTAACTTCAAGCATTTTATTTAGCTTGTAGTGTAGGATTGTTATACCGAACCATTTGCAAAATGTTATGCAGTTATTTTGATTCTCCCTCAGTACATACATTAAACAGCTCATTAAATAGTAACTCAAAATTAGAGTGATGCCTCTTTAGATTTCAGGTCTACATTAAAAAAAAAAAAAAAAAAATCTCTAAAACCCAAATGGAATTTCACAAACATGTACAGCTTCCACTTGTCACGCACACACCCTGTCTGTCCTCCGCGGTCCCTGGTTGTCTGTCCCTGTCTGTCCCCGGCTGTCACTGTCTGTCCCCGGCTGTTACTATTTATTCCGGGCTGTCACTCTCTGTCCCTGTCAGTACCCGGCATTCACTATCTGTCCCCGGCTGTCCATCTCTGTCCCTGTCAGTCCCCGTCTGTCCCTCTCTGTCCCTCTCTGTCCCCGTTTAGCCTCAGCCAGACCTGCGCTGCATCACCGGGGCTCCTGCAGAGCCAGCTGATTGAGTTACTGATTCCAGCTTCTGCTCACTGCAACGTAGGACCTGTGATGTCGCGATGCAGGATGAAGCCTGACAGCACTGCATTCCTAAGTGCTTAGGCACCTAAACTGCTTTCCCCTGTCCCCCCCCCCCCTCCACCCACCTCACTGTCTGAGCTCCGCTTCAGATGTTCCCCATGCAGGAGTTTGTCCCCCTGGCACCTGCCACCACCTGCCCTCCTCATCCCCCGCAGGCGGAGGGAGCCCCTCTGCGATTAGTAAGCCAATAGCCCTTTGTTGGCCGTGTAAAACGAAATGTTGCTAATTTGCCATAGACATGTATTCCCCGGGGGGGGGACCAGTCCCAGCTCACTGCACACAAACCACAGCCTCCCAGTGGAGTCACAGCGCTTCTGGCCTGGCACTGAGGAGTGGAGAACGAGGGGGGGACAGCAACGAGGGAGGGGGGTCAGGAGAGAAGAGGAGGGATTAAAATAGTGTCCGGTGGGTTGGAAAAATGTTTTAGAAATTCAGGAATAGAATTAACTGCTGGCCATAAATGTATCGTGCATGGCCAAAGTATGTCTTTTCACCACAGACCAGAAACATGAATGATGTTTTCTCCGAGCTTGTGAAAAAAAAAGCACAATAAGTACCACTGTGGTTTTTGTTTGAACACCAGGTCCTTGTGAAATAAGCGATGAGAGCAGGTCTTGTGACTGTGGGCCCACAGCTCCTAATTAACCTCCTCACCCCTGCTGCTAACTCCATGTAATCACCCAGACACAAGGCACTCTCTATCTGCCGCTCTATATTGAAACCAAGATCGCTGAGCCGGACTCGACTTACATGGGATTGTTTAACTACTTAACCTTTCAGTCGAAGTATCGAGGACATGACAAAATGCTTAGCCTAAACTGCAGTCTGATTCAGTGCCACCTTTGAAACAGACACTCAGCCATTTTCAATAATGACCAATTGTTACATCATCACGACATCGTCATTTGGGACCACAGACGATTGATGTGGTTTTGATGCGTCTGGCTCTTGGGCTGATGATTCATTCTTACTACCACGGACTCCAAATATGTTTGAGGTCTTTGTCACAGTTTAACTCCCTCAATTGTCAGTAATTTCTGCAACCTATCTAATGTGCTACACTTACCATGTGTGTAGGGCTGTATGAGTGGAATCTGATTGGCTGCCTGGTTTTTTGCAAAGTCACACGGTTGGCTGCGCTGGTGCTCTTGTTCTTGGGCTGTTAAGGGGCTCTTAGAAGGAGACACAGTGCATAGGTTCATGTCGATGGGGTCATGAGAAAATCCCACACATAACATTTGAGCTGAGATGATTGACTTTGATGTGGTCATGTCACAAAATCTATGAAAAATCCTTGTTTATGGGAATTGTGAGTCCTGATTAATTTTTCTGTAATGGCCTGAATAAGCGACTGTAATAACCGGACATCAGCATAAAGCAGATAATTCTGAAGGGAAAAACCCATGGAAATAGAAGAGAATATCCTTCTGTTACATGTCACCTTGGGTACTACAGTGTATGAGCAGCACAAGAAAATATAGAACTTACAAAATTCAACAGCGATCAAGTACACTTTTATACAAGATGGAAAATTAAGTGGAAAGCAGATGTTCAATGAAATCAATATATGGGATGTATGTTTCAGACAGGACAGTCTGCTGTGTGTGTGTGTATTTGGATGGCCCATACGATGTGATAAAAACGTTATTTTGACGTTGTGGGGACCAGTTTTCAGGTCCCCATAAAGATGTGAGAATGCAACCAAAAAACTAAAATTGCCAAAAGTTTCGCATTTTATTTGGTTAAGGTTAGGGCAGGGTAGGGGTTAAGCTCATCATGTTGGGATTAGAGTTTTCCCTATAGAAATGAATGGAGAATCTCCACAAAGATATATTTACAAACCTGTGTGTCTGTGTGTATGTGTCTGAGTGTGTTCGTGTGTCTGTCTGTCTGAGTCCCTGTGTGTTTGCGTGTGTGTGTGTGTGTGTGTGTGTGTGTGCGTGCGTGTGCGAGTGGGTTTACCTATCCTTATGGGGACATAATTCATTCACATAATGTCCCCATAACGTGATAAATATCCGTTTTTTATCCGGTTTCCTGGTCCCCATAAGGGAAAACTCTATTTTATAAAAATCGGTGACTGCTATGAAAAAACTAAAAATGCATTTTCCCATTGAAATGAATGAGCGGTCCCCAAAAGGATATGTTTACCCTACATATGCGTGCGTGTGTGTGTCTACATATGTGTGCGTGCGTGTGTGTGTGTGTGTGTGTGTGTGTGTGGAGGGTGTCCCCATTACATGCCTCTGAGCTGCCCAGGTCACATCAGCCCTGACTTCATAACTTCATAAGCTGACATTGAGTATCACTGAGGATGAAGGTACATCACTTACCTCCGACTTCCATTCTTTTAGAAGCATGTTAGCCTCTGGCTGAATTTGATTATTAGGTGCTTTGTTAGTAGCTGTTGTGTAGCTCCTGCTCCTATACTGCTTACACTTGTACCTGGACATTCATTAGAAGCTCAGCCTTGCTCAACTTAGTCAACTCCAAGACAGCACGAATGTTTGTAATTTGCTATCTGCCTCACTTGTACATTGCTTTGGACAAAAGCGTCTACTAAATGTAAAAACGTAAATGTAAATATGAGTTGATTGTGTGCTAAAAATGTTGCATGTATGAGTTGTCAAGGGCAGGGATTAACAGAAAAAGCCAGCAGACAGTGACGGGATTGCGCCGGGAAGCTGTGCTTGGCAGTGCTGTGCCTTGGCTGTGCTTGGCAGTGCTGTGCCATAGCTGTGCTGCATGCTGGGGACTCAGGTTGGAGTTCGAGGGGCAAAGGTGGCAGGGAGGAAATGCAGGTCATCGTGCACGGAAATGACGGACACGCCGGGATCCGGGACGGCCAGTGAAGCACTGTCTTTAGCCCGTGGGCCTTAATGCATAGGCAGAGCAAACACGGCGTTGCGTTTGTGCTGTACATAAACCGTCTTAAAAGGGGAGGCTGTCAGACATATTTAAATAAGCCCTCTGGCCAGAAATTGCCAGGCTTTTAAAAGTGCAGCATGATTGACGTTGGTTTAGGGAGCTGTGACACGGGGGTTTGAAGTGCCGGTGTTTATGTATGTATGCAACCCCTAAAAAATTGTGTTTATGAAAACAGTGGCCGGGTTCCAATCAGATAGCGGCACAGAGCTGGATTGGCAGCTGGCCTAGCCTCTGCGAGGGGGCAGGGGCAGGCGGGGGGCTTGAGCGATACATCTTAAAGGCTAGGTGACGTGAACAACCGGCAAGGGAAACACAGAACACTTTAAAGCAACATCAAAAACCTAATAGAAGCAACATGATAGACCCAAATGTACTTTAATGCATGATCATGATGGAATACTTAAGCATCCTTAAGGAGAAAAGACCGTCGACTGACTCGTGCACTTTTTTTCAATCCCTGTCATCGCTTGCTGATTTCTTGATGGCGGTTCAGCAATTAGCAGGCTGCATGTTGTCCTTCTGTTCGTCCTTGTTTTGCAAACTTTTTCCAGCAGATAATTTCAATGGAAAGGGGGAGAGAAAAAGGGAGAGCTTGGTGTAATGAGGAGGAAGAGTAGGGGTTGCTCATCTCTGTTTCGCCGTCTGCTGCGGCCCAACGCCTTCACTCCGCCTTCACGCTACCATCCTGCCAGCATGCGGCCTTCACTCCGCTTTCCTGTTGCCTTCACAACACCTCAAGTCACCTTCACAGTGCCTTCGCTCCACCTTCATGCTGCCTTCACACCATCTACATGCTCCTTCAGTCCACCTTCACATTGCCTTCCCACTGCCTTCACGCTCCTTCACTCCACCTTCACATTGCCTTCCCGCTGCCTTNCTGCCTTCACGCTCCTTCACTCCACCTTCACATTGCCTTCCCGCTGCCTTCACACTGCCTTCACGCTCCTTCACTCCACCTTCATATTGCCTTCCCGCTGCCTTCACACTGCCTTCCCGCTGCCTTCACACTGCCTTCACGCTCCTTCACTCCACCTTCACACTGCCTTCCCGCTGCCTTCTTGCCGCCTTCATGCTCCTTCACTCCACCTTCACGCCATTCCATCCCGTGGGCGGCTGGGCATCCGCTGCCCTCCTCCAAGCAGGAAGGGTTTCATGAACCACAAGCCGAGAAGCATTTAGCGCTAATTACCTTCATAATAACAGCCCTTTGTCCCCCCTCTGGTGGTGACTGCCCCCGCTATTCAGCACTTGCTGTTCACTCAACCATTACTGATGTCCTGTCAGCCGGCACTTTTAATTTGCTGGGTTCGCTGTCTTTTTCCTGCTCTCCAAGCAGCACAGAGTCCCCTGGCTTGGCGCGCCAGGGTTACGGCGCTCACACTCTCCCTCGGGGGAGCCTTATAAATCGGCCTTT